ATACTACAAATAAACTACAGACCATTACACTAACTTAGATACAAACTACAAATAAACTACAGACCATTACACTAACTTAGATACAAACTACAAATAAACTACAGACCATTACACTAACTTAGATACAAACTACAAATAAACAACAGACCAATACACTAACTTAGCTACAAACTACAAATAAACTACAGACCATTACATTAACTTAGATACATACTACAAATAAACAACCGACCAATACACTAACATATATACAAAATACATATAAACTACAGACCATTACACTAACTTAGCTACAAACTACAAATAAACTACAGACCATTACATTAACTTAGATACATACTACAAATAAACAACCGACCAATACACTAACATATATACAAAATACATATAAACTACAGACCATTACACTAACTTAGATACAAACTACAAATAAACTACAGACCATTACATTAACTTAGATACAAACTACAAATAAACTACAGACCAATACACTAACATATATACAAAATATATATAAACTACAGAATAATACACTAATATATATACAAAATACAAATAAACTACAGATCAATACACTTTAATTTACATGTTCGTAGAGAAATAGTAAGGAGTGTTTGTAAACAACATTTTTTTTGATGTGGTTCCAGACGTAATGTCATGTCCTTTAATACAAGTAAAACAAGGTGAGCATGCTTCACGATGGGAAGTCCAGAACCCTGGTTTGTACAGGCGTCGCTTGGCAACGAAGAAAACAATAAGATACGTAGATGAAAAACAACAGATAGGTTAATTTTTAATATTTTAAGAACAGAAAAGTATAATTCCAAAATTATCTTGTGAACTTTTCTTTAGACCCAAAAACGTATGTAAAAAGGAATCGGAATATATTAAAGAAAGTAATAAAGTTCATAGTATTAATAAGTTCCATCCTGTGCAAATGGAAATTTCTAATTCTCTAAATCTAAAAGCGACTTTTTCTATCCTGCGCAATCCTTGCCTCCTCTACCTCTGCTGGGTCTCGTCTTATCTGCATGAACCCAGACTAGGCTTGAGTGGATGTTTTCCAGACTTTCTCAGCATCACTGTTCCACCAGAATGAAGTGTTCGTTTTGCACAAGTTGTTTTCTTGACTTTGCTCAATGATGGTGAAATGATTGAGGTACGTGTGCTGCCATCTGGCTTTACAGCCTTGTTTGCGTTTGTAAATTGTCTCTATACCACTATATCTTTTAGTTTTCACATACACCTCATATATGAAGTTATTACTAATGACATTATATCCTCTATGCCAGGTAGAGACGACGCTCAATGTGGGCTTAGCAAAAGCAATGCCTATATAGGAGTCTTTGTCACCTTAGTGCTCAGCAATTCTTGTTGGTGCACCCAAGTTCACTAATATAAGGGTGGTGTCTAAGGTATTTCTAGTGTGGACAGCGAAATGCAAATCTCTGCCATTAGTGTTTTCACCTACATCCCAGCTGAAGCGTATGGCATTGAAGTCTCCTTCTACTTTATATATAGAAGTGTGGCCAAACAGGTCAGGTTGGAACCTTCAATCTTGGATTGGGTATACAGCTTTAAGTGAGCTTAAAGATGGTTTGTAGCTTGTAATGGTGATGGTTTTGCCAAGATCTGTCATAATGTTCACAGCAAATGTTGCTGTCGTGCCACACTGCCATGACAATCTCAGCCTTTGTGTCAGCATGTGATATGAAGTTAAAGCCAATGACAATGAATTCTTCAGTGTCTAATGTCATAATAAGTATGATGTCATAAAATTCAGGGAGCTTTTCGAGGCATTATTTATTTCCTCTGATCTCTCGACATTGCAGTAACCTATCATAATGTGAGACTGACAGGGTCTGGTGCACTGTTCACATATTCTTCAGTTACCATCTCATTGTTTAAGCCTTGGTTTCTTTGTTTTTCCTTCTCCTGCTGGCCAGTCCAGGACCCTACCTAAGTGCATCAGCTCTGTTCCTCTCGCAGGTACCCGTTCAGGAGCTGTTTTCTTATGTATTATTGTTTGTAGTCAATTCTTTAACCATTGATTGTCTAGTATTCCTGTTCCTAGCCCTGTCCACCCTAAGAAGGCAGGCAAGTGACATTAAGCCAGTATCCTGCTATAATGGGGCTACTGTTTTTGTGTTGGCATACACTGGCCAATAGGGTATTAATGTATTATTTCCACCGTCGATAAACCTTCCTGGCACCTTTGTCCTCAGGCCGATCAGCTTTAAACGAGGCCTAATGTATATTAGACCCACTTGAAGTTCAAACTAGACTTAGAATAAAGAATAAACATGGACAGTGAATCATAATGGCGAGTGAATTACGAGAGTTTATCATATGGAATATGTGTATACAGAAAAAAAAAGGAAAAGCACAACAAAAAAAGGGAAAAGCAAGGAAGTGGAAAGAAAAGGAAAGAAGAAAATTAAAATCTAAATCTTTAATGATGGTGTGCAAATTGTTGAAAGTTTTTATTGCTCTAATAATGTGAACTTACATAATTAGATTTAGGTTTAATTACAATATTACCACCTGCTAAGTTTATGTATACGTACAATGTGTCGTGTGTTTAGTTTAGGTTCTTTGCAGGGTTACCTACTATGTATGTTTAGTTCATGTTCTCGTTTTTCAAGTTCAAATACAGAGTTAGTTGATGTTTTGTTACATATATTGTAACAATGCGTTCAGTTGTAGACACAAGTACGTTGTAACTATGAGATGGCTATACATGTAGTGTTTAGCATTAAATAAAATTATAATTACTTACTGTGACTTGCACCAGATTGTTACATGAATACTGGGTAGGTTGACAGACCATCAAACAGAGAGGACACTTCGCCACACTTGAGAGTGGAAACAATATGGAGATGTCTAGTTACTGGTTATAATCACCGTTGTGAAAAAATTAAAATCTACAATGTTTCATAATAGCTTGAGACTGCTATAAAGAATTCCAGTCAATTTCCCTCTTCCCCCTTTTTAATAAATATAATTCATGATTCTTATTATTGCTAGGGAAGCAATCTCAAACCAGCTAAAATAGTTTTATCCAAACTAGCCAGAAACAGGCCTAAACCATAAAACTACGCTCACCACTCTTTCCAGCTGAGATAACACATTTCCAAAGTGATTCCCAAAGGGGTCCGACTATGAATAATGGGATTCAGCGTTATACATGATGGTAATTTTTCATCCTAACTCAAAACACTGTAAAAGCTGACACATTGAATTCACAGGTAATAATGTTCCGCTAACCCTTAGTATTGAACTCTATCTGACTGATGGATGTCATGTAAGATGTGCAGTTCCGCTTTACAAAACGTTTCAAAGTTTCCATGGATTAAGGAACAAATAGTTTTGGACATCTTAGTTCTTGGTGGTCATCAGATCTAAATACAATTCAGTGCATTTTTCAGAATAGATTCAGGTGTGACCAAGTGAGATACAATGTCTTAGATACTCAAAACCAACGATGCATTCAATAACTATTCCTCTAAGAAGGTCTACGAGATCCGGTTTTCATGACATCTTGTTTTCAATTGACTCTTACAGCGATGTCGTTAAAAACCAAAGAAATCGGAGATTCCACTCAGAAACTTGTGGATGTCTGTTCTGTTATCTTGTAGTTGTGAATAATCCAATAATCATAACAAAAGAATGTATCTGCATTATTTATTTAAATCATGCTTTCAAGGCAGTATTTTAAGGCAGTATGAAGCAGATATTTGTTGTTATACACATGATTACATTGTTGAAATTGACATTTTTAACTGACTTATTGTGACCAAAAGGACTCTCATAGACGTTTGGAATGATTAACAATGAAGAAAACATTACCACAAAATGGATTAATTTATACTTGCGAAAGAAGTACGTTGTCTTTAAACACCTTATAGCCTACTCCGGTTTTTACAGTTAGGTTGAATAAAATAAAATAAATTCTCTAAATCGGCATTTAAAAAAAAATCAGCACAACTCAACTTGTATTTCTTTTATTAAATCGGCATTTAAGCTTACAACAAATAGTAGCTTTTCGAAAAGTAAAAGCGAAAAGCCGGCCGTCACTTAAGCATATAGAATGGGCGTTGTTTTGGTATGACAGATCGGGAACGTACTAAATGTTAATTAAAGAACCAGTCTTGCATACAACTGTGTACCTAGATTTACATAGAAAAGAAGCATTTTTCTTCATCAGCTAAATCAGATTAGGCCTATACGCTTATAGGAGTAAGCTTTAAATTCAGCCTATTAGGCTTAAGTTTTATAGCAAATTGTATATTTTTTCCACGCAAAAAAGGGAAAACAAATTAAAAAGCAGCTTTTTTAGTGCTTTAAATCACTATAAACCTTTTCAGGCGAGGGTCTTTGTCCTCTTGACATCTTAAATAGGTTCTCTACCCCTTCTACCTCTTTTTATTCAACTATGATTCTAAAACTTAATGACACCCCTGGATTTGTGTGATTCCCATAAATATTCAGTGGAGACGTGCCCATTACTAACTGGATGTGTTGCTGCAACATTTAATGAGCACTGAAGTACATAGTTCTTTAAATTTATGAGTAATTTAGCACTATTTGCCTAAAAGTTTACAGCATACGAAGAAAGTGTTATGTAATTTATGTAAATAGATTAATTAACAGCTACTTATAACAGTTTGCATAATCAATCATTTCTCTTACCTGGCACGCATCTTTACCTCCTTCAATGAAGCCCGCGCACATAAATCCTTCTGTGATTGGCTGAAAATATCGACGATTGCAGTCCTCGTTGGCCCATATAGGCATGGAAGTCTGTTGAAGGGCATCAGTGCTTTTACCCCCTGGTGAATGGAGACAGAAGGTAATTCTCTCGCTTCTAGATTTTTATGGTAATATGGATTCTAAGCCTTAAATTGACAAAATGAAATGTATTTGATAAAAATAGATTTACTTAATAAAACCTTTTGAAACAATCCGGCATTAGTAAAAGGTGCCAAAAAAGCGATGGATTTCATTGGTAATTATATAGAATGTTTGGCAGTCATCAATGTAAAATTTAAAAGAAAGAATCGGTTAGATAATAATAAAATATCTAAACAGAAAAGCTAACGTGCAATTATTTTGATTCAGGACTATTACCATGTCATTTTCATGACCAATAAGAACAAAGTACCTTATTCTTTCGAACTAGAAATAACAGCACTGTTTTACTCCAAAATTACCATATGATCCTTTTGGCCCAAAAAAGTCAGTATGTTGTCCTTTTGACTTGAGAGACCCATCATATCATCATTTTGAATCAGAAGAGTCAGCATATTATGCACATTATCCAAATATGTCGTTATTTTAGTATGAAATGTATTTTCATTAATTTTTTTATGCAAGAAATGTATGGATATTTCAAAAAAATAATATATTTATTTACACAAATTAGATTATTGAATATGAATACACGTAAATTGGTATGATTAACTAAATTAGTCCTACCGTAAGAGGTAGTTCCCCATCCGAGCACAGTACCAATATGGCCGACCAGCGGATTTGATCTAAGGTTATCTTCTACTGGAAGACAGACAGGTCTGATAAAGGTCGTATATACCACCCTTTCTCTCAGCTTAACCAGGCCTATGTCATTGAAAAAGCCATTACGTCGAAACTGTGGATGCTGTATTGTTTTATCCACAAAATACTCCCTGGGTTGAGCAAAGTCGTCTGTTTTGAATAAATGATGGTCTCCAAGACGAACTGTTAGTTGTGACGAATGATATCTGAAATTCAAACAAAAATATTAAAACGAATACCGAATACTCCAACAACAAGCATACAAAGACATTATGATCTTCAGCTAACATAACTCTTCATTTTACAACTTTTGCTCTGAAGATCGAATAATTAGTTGCGTTGCATGACAAAATGTTCATGGCAAACAAAATTACTTTCCGCGTCACAGTATGAATTAATTAAATATATGCGAGAACGTTTTTTTTTTTGTTAATTTTAAAAATAAAATTGACATCCTAATGACAAATTAAGTTTAGTAGGAGAGTCAAATCTCTTCTTATTGGCTTTTTTTTTATTTCAGCAAACCCCATTTTTCTATGGTTTAAGACAGGATGAGCGTGACCCAGGGGTTATCTGGACTATGGTTCTCTAGGGTCTACGTTTTCACGTTCTGTTGCCGAAAAAAATCGATCTCCGTAAAATGATGCCTGAATGAGTTATGACGGTGATGGTCAAATCTCACTATTCGGTCGTTTGGTGCTGTTGATTAGATACTTTCCAAATATTCAAATTTATGGGCGGCTAGCGGGGGTGGTCATTGAGTAGCTTTGCGCGAATATCAGAAAACAAATTAACATAGTTTAAGGTTAACAAAAAAGAGCATGAATCCCTTGGGTTGGACGTGGACTAGGGATTAGCAAGACTGGCTGTGTAGCAGTGGATTCAAGTATTTCGAGACGTAAAACATTCCTCTGTAATTTCGGCCGAGGGAACGGTAAAAACCAAAACAATCAATCCCGCTATTCGGCTACATATGAATAGCCGTAAGCAACGGGGAGTTGCTGACTGGTTACCTTCCTTCAGATCAGCAGCCCTAAATTAGTGTTTGCTATACCTAAATCTTGGGGTCTCTGACCTGACAGTTTAGAATGAAAAAATACCAAAAATATCTCGAAAGAATTGTAGCATAAAGATACGATCGGATTTGTAGAATCCAAAATGTCGTGAAGCATTACAATTTAAGACCTGTTTCTTATTCTAGACAATAAAAAATAAAATAAACCAAACAGCCGAAAGCAATGACAAATAAACAAACTAACAGTTTGTTTGTTTGATTAGAAGTTTTGCGCAAAGCTACACAAGGCCTTCCTGTGTTAACCGGCACTAATTTGAAACTGATAGAGTGGAGGAAAAGTGTGCAACAAGTCAAGAGTACCCACCGCCAACTCTTGGGCTACTCTAATCGAATTATGGGATTTTACCGTCTCTCTCTTATAACGCACCCACGGACCAAAAAGTGTATAACGTGATTATGCAACAACGAATGTAAGCCATTGAACCTTGGGGTTCACAGTCTGGCACGCTAATCACTAAGCCATGCCCGACCCATTTGAGGAGTGCCTTCTACAAGACCGGGCCGGCATGGCCAGGTGGTTAGGGCGCTCGACTCGCAATCTGCGGGTCGCAGGTTCGAATCCCCGTCACACCAAACATGCTCGCCCTTTCAGCCGTGGGGGCGTTATCATGTGACGGTCAATCCCACTATTCGTTGGTAAAAGAGTAGTCCAAGAGTTGGCGGTGGGTGGTGATGACTAATTGCCTTCTCTCTAATCTTACACTGTTAAATTAGGGACGGCTAAAGCAGATAGCCCTCGTGTAGCTTTGCGCGAAATTCAAAAACCAAACCTTCTACAAGACGCTTCCAAAATAAAGTGCGTATTCTTATTATGTTAAAATACTATATTTATCGATCTTCACACGTAATGGGAAACACACAGACAAAAAACAACAACAAACTGATGTCAAATATTGTGCGCACAAAAGATATTGGAAGAGTCAATTGCACAGTGAAAACAATATATTAAGTGTCAAACAATTACACACAAACATGAATAACCAGTGAGAGCTATAAACGGAAATAGTTTCGTTCTAATCAGAGAATCGAATAAAACAAATTTCTAAAATGTGTAAAACTCTAAAAACTAACTCAGCGTGAATGTATGGAGGCTTCATCGTGTTAAGTGTTTTAAAGCCGAATTAGAATTAAAACTTAGTTGTTTTTAATAAATTATATTATGTAACCATGCAGCTAAAACAATGACAGAAATAATATAAACAAAGATAAACACCTTTTCTAACTACGTGATAAACAGAGTGGCCCAAATTTAATAAGGCTCTATCCCACTTTAACTAAAGTGATTAGCAGGGTAGCTCTACTGTTATAAGGCTCTATCCCACTTTAACTGAAGTAATTAGCAGGGTAGCTCCACTGTTATAAGGCTCTATCCCACTTTAACTGAAGTAATTAGCAGGGTAACCCCACTGCTATAAGGCTCTATCCCACTTTAACTGTAGTAATTAGGAGGGTAGCTCCACTGTTATAAGGCTCTATCCCACTTTAACTGAAGTAATTAGCAGGGTAGCCCCACTGTTATAAGGCTCTATCCCACTTTAACTGAAGTAATTAGCAGGGTAGCCCCACTGTTATAAGGCTCTATCCCACTTTAACTGAAGTAATTAGCAGGGAAGCCCCACTGTTATAAGGCTCTATCTCATTTTAACTGAAGTAATTAGCAGGGTAGCCCCACTGTTATAAAGCTCTAGCCAGTGTTAACTGAAGTAATTAGCAGGGTAACCCCAGTGTAATGAGGCTCTATTTCAACAAAATCCAAAATCTAAACGTGAACATAAATGAGAAAGAAACAGGTCAGTTCAAAGAGATTTATTTTATTCGGGAAGTTGCTGTTGTACCACCGTTCTTGTACTGACTGAAAACAACATTAAATTTATGACGGATTAGAGTCTTATTAAATCTGGGCCGCCCTGCATCATATTCTAGAATAACGTGCTCTATTTCAATAACTGATTTCATAAGTTTAAAGTTTCGTATTGATAACTAGGTTTGCTATAATAAATAATTCTGTATATGTATTGACCTATTATATAGTATAACAATATATATGCATATTGAGCAATGATGTAATGCCTAGAATGCCTCATATATCAATACCATAACTCTTGTTAGCACAAAGAAAGAACATTCTTGTTAGATTTTTTTTTCCACTCAGTGACATAGAGGAAGTTCTGCGTCGAAACCTTCATCCAGCTTGTCTGGAAAATATATATCATTCATCTATAAATTTAAATGTATAACTAACAAATTTAGGCTTTAAATCTTGCCTACTTGTTTGATTATTGAATTTTGCCCAAAGCTATACGAGAACTCTCCGTGCTAGCTCCCTAATTTTGGAGTGAGAGACTAGACGAAAGGCAGCTAGTCAACGCCATCCACCGCTAATTCTTGGGCTACTCTCTTTTCCAACGAAAATTGGGATTGGCCGTCATATTATAACACTCCCACGGCTAAAAGTGCGAGCATGTTTTGTGATGGGGTTCGAACTCGCGATCCGCAGTTTTGGAGTAGAGTGTCTTAACTACCAGAAAATGCTAGGCCAGTCTAGTCTATACATATTTTGATTTGTACAACCGTGTTAATGATAGATTTAGGAAACTGTTATGGGATTTGGAATCAGTCTCAATAGTTCATACCTTCAGGGCTGAAGCCAACACATTGGGGACCCAAAGCAAACATAATTTTGGACCTCCGTGCTTACCTCCTAAAATGATATTTATTGTAATATTTTCGCATACCAAAAATATTCTAACACAGCACATTCCAGTGCACTCGTTACAAAGTCATTCCTACTGACTCTAACATCACTTCACCGGTATCTTTTTCAAATCACTGTGTGTGCGCTGCAATTAGCAACAACCAGCGCACGAATACTTGACTGGGAAATGTCTTATTTTTAAACGTCCATCCGTTAAAATGTAATGTGTTTTTCAATTGTTTCAATTGATGTACAATACTAAAACATGCAAAAGTCAAAGTTCTATTGATAAAATCCCTGTTAAATCGGGGGCCATTGAGCTGCCCGGAGTCATAAGCAATTGCTTAGTCTGATTGTTCCTAGCACTACCACTGCAGAGCTTATTAATTGGGTCCACTCAAACACTGGATTGGAACTAAGCTGGTGTTCGGAAATACAGGTTTTTAGGGCTGACAGGACATGGCGTACTTAATTTCTAAATTTATTATCTTATTAAACATTATACCATATCGCACTCGTAGGCTTAGGTGAAATGAGGTAAAATTCAAATAAGCTGTTGTCTTATCATTCGCTGGGCATGGCCAGGTGGTTAGGGGGCGCTCGACTCGCAATCTGAGGGTCGCGAATTAACATCCCCGTCCCATCAAGCAATATTGCCCTTTCAGCCCTGAGGGTGTTATAAAGGTGCGATCAATCCAACTAGTCGTTGGTAAAAGAGTAGCCTAAGAGTTGGCGGTGGGTGGTGATGACTAGCTGTTTTTCCTCTAGTTTTCCCCTGCTAAATTAGGAACGGCTGGCGCAGATAGCCTCGTGTAGCTTTGCGCAATATTCAAACAAACCAAACCAAAGCCTTATCATTTGTCGGTCAGAAATGTGATTGATTCTTTGCCTGGACTATTTTAAAACAAAAAAACGAATTATTTCTATATAACAGTCCTCTCTAGCTTCTATCTAAATCAACAAAGCGATTCACAAGTATGATTTTTAAAGTAAATCATACCTTACTGATCAAAACCCAAGAAGAAACAAACAGAAGAAGAATGCATCGAGTACAAAGACATTTCCTGAAATACCTTTATTTATATAAAAGTTATTGACCATAGAAAGAGGTGCTATTTTATGCTTGTATATTTTATTGTATGTTTTACATACACACATATATATTTTTGGTTTGGTTTCTTTTGAATTTCGCGCAAAGCTACACGAGGGCTATCTGCGCTAGCCGTTCCTAGAGACTAGAGGGAAATCAGCTAGTCATCACCACCCATTGCCAACTCTTGGGCTACTTGGGATTAACTGTCACATTATAACGCCCCCACGTCTGAAAGGGCGAGCATGTTTGGTGGGACGGGGATTCGAACTCGCGAACTGCAGATTGCGTATCGGGAGCCCTAATCACCTAGCCATGTGAATATTTTTGCCTTACGACCGCCCAA